ATCATATAGGAGTCAAACCGTTTATACCACTGTCTCGGAGACTGTTTTAACCCGTACAAAGATTTCTTCAATCTGCAAACTAAATGCTCGTTTCCAGGTTGAGTGAAACCTTCAGGTTGCCGCATGTAGATCTGCTCCTCTAAATCACCATGCAAAAAAGCAGTTTTAACATCCATCTGCTCTAAATGCAAATCCCAACTAGCCACCAATGCAAGTACTGCTCGGATTGAAGTGTGCCTGACCACAGGAGAAAAGATTTCATCATAATCAACTCCTTTCTGCTGTGAAAAACCCTTCGCTACCAAACGAGCCTTGAACTTCTCCCCCTCTTTTTCTGTTACTGCTGGTTTCTTCTTATACACCCATTTGCAACCAATCGGCTTCTTACCCTCAGGAAGGGGAACTAACTCCCATGTGCGATTGTGATTCAAAGACTCCATCTCCTCAACCATGGCTGTCATCCACTTGTCGTTTTCCTGACTAGTAACGGCATCATGAAAAGTAACTGGATCATCACTGCTAACAGTAAGTGCAAAAGATACCAAGTCTTCAAAACCCAATCTGTTCGGAGGCTTTATATTCGTCCGTCTCACCCTGTCTCTGGCGAGACTATAATCCTGCAAATCATCCGTAGTGGAACCACCAGAAGTCGGTTGAGAAGTTTCTGGTTTCTCAACTGGAAACTGCTCGAAATCCACCACTGTCGTGTCTTGCTTCTGCTGCAACATGGATTGTTCATTAAAAACGACATCTCTACTAATCACAACTTTCTTCGCAACTGGATCCCAGAACTTGAATCCTTTGACACCTTTCTTGTAACCCAGAAAAATGCACTCCTTCGATTTTGCATCAAGTTTGGATCTCTCATCAGCAGGTACATGCACATAAGCAGGACAACCAAAAATCCGTAAGTTATCAAAACTAACATCATGACCAGTCCATACCTCTTCTGCAACTTTCCCAGCCAGCGATGCCCTTGGCGATCTGTTGATAAGGTAACACGCCATGTTAACAGCCTCAGCCCAGAAGTGTTTGGGAAGCCCCGCATTCAACCGCAAACATCTGGCTCTTTCATTCAACGACCTGTTCATTCGTTCCGCAACACCATTCTGTTGTGGTGTCTTGCGCACTGTAAAATGCCTCTGAATCCCATGCTCCTTACAGAATTGTAGGAACTGTGAATCTGTGTACTCCGTACCATTGTCAGACCGCAAACACTTGATTTTTCGTCCTGTTTGGTTTTCTACCTCAGCTTTCCACAGCTTGAACTTCTCAAAAACTTCAAATTTCTGTTTCAAAAAATACACCCAAAACTTTCCGTGAAAAATCATCAATAAAAGTAACATAGTACCTAGATCCACCCAAAGACGATGTCGTGGAAGGCCCCCATACATCAGAATGCACATAATCAAGAATCCCTTGAATTGTGTGCTTCGCAGTCTTGAAACGGACTTTAGTCTGTTTACCAAGAACACAATACTTGCAAAAATCGAGCTTACAACTTTTGACACCATGCAACAAGTTTCTCTTGTGTAATTCTGCCATACCACGTTCACTAAGATGAGCAAGGCGCATATGCCACAATTTTGTCGTATCATCACAGGACTCAACAGAGTGAACTCCACCTGCAACGGTACTCCCTAACAATCTGTAGATATTCCCTGCAGTCATCTTGCCTTTCATCACAGTCAATGCTCCTTTAACAATCCGAATGGTTTCCCTATCCTCGTCAGCCTTAGGGATAAAACCATTCTTGTGCAAAGTGCCCAAGGAAATCAAATTCTTCTTCAAGTCTGGGATATGTCGACACCACTCAACGTCCGAAGGAGCCATCGTGCATCTTAATTCTGACATCACCAATACCAACAATATTGCAACATCGATCATCACCCAAATAAACCGAACCAGAATTAACCGGCCTGTATGTCGAAAACCATTCCCTATTTGGCGTGATGTGATAAGAACATCCAGAATCAAGAATCCAAGCATCCGTCAATTGTGTCGTTGAAATAGAAAGCATATCACCCTCACTGCAATCAGAAGTATCATCCTCGACCACGTTCACAGACTTGGATGAGCCATCACGCTTCTCATCAGTCTGCTTTTTCAACTTCGGACAGTCTCGCTTCATATGTCCCGCCTCCTTGCACTTGTAACAGTGAATCGTCTTCTTATCCCTGGATTTAGATCTGGAATTCCGCTTCCCGGACCCTGCCTTCTCTGGCTTCCGTCCACGATCTCGATTACCCTTGACATATAAGCTATCGGCTTGAGAGCTTTCCCCTGCATTCTGCTTCGCTGGTTGTGAGCCAACAAGGCTGCAGTAATCTCCTCAACGTTGATAGTCTCTTTCCCATATGTAAGAGTAGTCACCATGTGTTCGTAAGAGGAAGGTAACGAACACAACAGAATCATCGCTCTGTCTTCATCCTCAATTTTCACATCAAGCCGAGCCAGATCAGAAACGATTTGATTGAAGACATTCACGTGTTGCGCCAAATCGTGATCGTCCTGCATCTTCAGCCCATACAGCCGCTGCTTCAGATACAGTTTTGTCGTTAAGGATTTGGACATAAACTGACTTTCCAACTTCCTCCAAATTTCGCCTGGAGACGATAGATGCATGACGTGATACATGACCTCGTCCGCCAAGCATAATCGTATGGTTCCTGCCGCTCGCTGCTGCAATTCTTCCCAATCTTCCTCATCCATCGACGCCGGCTTTATAGGTCGCAAAGCCTTCAAGATCCCTTGCTGCGCCAATAGATCCTTCACCCTCGTTTGCCATAATCCGAAGTTACCCTGACCATCGAATTTCGCGACTTCGAATTTTGCTCCTGACATCTGATACCAATTGTTGACGAAAACGGGTAAAGAAAACAAAAGAACACGAGAATTTTACGAGGTTCGGCAATGTGCTTACGTCCTCGGTGCCTAGGCGGCGCTAGAAGTTTTTATTCAATGATATTTTAGGTCTAGGTTACATCTCTATTTATAATAGAAAACCCTGGTACATAATTACAAAATTAACCCTGTACCGTACTGCGGGGGCTGCGCCCCCGCACCCCCAACCCACATAATTTGTAACCCCACAACGAGACTTTCCTTGTAAGGACAGTTGATGTTCGCTCACTCCGCTCCATCTCCTGTCCTCTTTACTGGTATATTTATGAGCCATACCTAACATTACATGAAGAAACCCCATAAATATATACATCAAAAGAATCTCACATCGGATAAGAAAAAAAAATTATTCCTTTTCACTAATTTTCTAGGAACGGAAAAAGAAAATAAACAATCACCACTGTTCTATATGTATATATGCGTGTACCAGGATTCAACATTAACATCCTATAAAATAGACATCTATTAAAGAAATTAATCCATAATGAATATAAAAGAAGAAATTTCCAACCAAAATCAAATACAGATCAATAATTCAAGTTAAAAAGAAAGGAGAGATAGATTGGAGTAAGAATGAAGAAAGGGGAGGAAAACAAAAGAGATGATAGGAGAGAAAAAGAAGGAAATTCCTAAAATGGATGAAATAAACATCTTGGTGGTCTTTTTATTTAAATGTTTGAGTTTTGGATGACCGGTAGTATAACGTTGCATATGTGACAATGACATCGCCATCATCTGAAGTATATATAAATTTAAAATTGCATATATATTTTAAAAACATCACAACAAATTTAATATATATATATAATTCAAAATATACATATATATATATATATATAATCTACCTAGTGACTTCAGTGAAAAAAAAAGAATGTTATTCTCCGTGAAGATCATTGATTCGAGCAGTTGCATTTGCCGTATACATGCGTTATCAATAAATTAAAAAAATTCTTAACAGGTATTATGTATAAACTAGTTCTTGTATCTCATTCTCACGTGGACAAGTTTACTTATATATTTATAATTTTATGTTTATTTAGTTCTATATTTTCTTGAAAAAGGTATAGAATATCACAATAAAAATATGATGATAAAAATAAACAAAATTATTTAAAATGAATAAAAACCCTTTGTAAAATTATATTTGTAATGGTTTGTTTGAATAATTTTAAAAAAGAAAAATTAATTTGTCTTATTAATTCCATCATACTTCATACAAAAAGAATAAAAGAATCAAAATGGTAACTAAATACTATACAATAAATATACCGATGATAAAAGAAAACCAGTACAGTACATTCTAGGTGCATACGATGAAGACATCATCATTATTATTTCAGTTTTTTTTTATTTATAAATAAACTAATTTATAATAAAATCTTAAAAAATATAAATATTTTTAAAAGATTTTTAATTATTATTGTGAGATCAGACAATAATATTATATATGAAAAACAAAAAACTATACGGGTACATTATTTTTAGCCAACATAAAACAAAACACAACTAATAACATCAACACGAGACAAATATAACAATTTAAATTTATATAACACCATATATTAATATATTAAAATATACAAAATGTATATTGAAAAAACAAATACAAGCTCACATTTATTTTTATTTTTTTTTTTGAAATAAGGTTTCATTTCGAGAAAATAATAATAATTTTCAAAATTAGTAACATGGTCATAGTTGGAAAACGATCTCCCAAAATACTAATGAACAAGAAATTTCATAGCACTCTTGTTACACAATGAAGTATGAAATAAATTTTGCATCGAAAATAATTTTTAATTGTTGATTTACTTGAAGAAAATAAAATATTTTTTTATTAAAAATAAGATTATAACATGTATCATCCAAGTATATAATATGATTTGTCATGTGAAAACCTGAAAAGCCAAGGTTCAAGGATACTAAATGAAACCTTATCGTTCTCTCCCAGAAATTGAATGTATCAAACATATATTATTTGATTAAAATTAAAGGTTTCAGCAGAAAATACCTTTTGAGATAACCATACTTCTACATGGAAGGATGTAAGATGAAATCATCATAACATAACAAATAACCTAAAAAAAAATAAAAGATTTTTCCTATGCCTACCATATGTAAGAGAGTTGAACGCCTGCGCAACTGTGGATGCAACGTGTCGAATTCCGTAACAGAGAAAATTTAGATGGTAAATATTTCTTCAGCCAGAACCTAGTTGCCCTCCTGCATTTGGAAATACTTCAGGACAGGACACTGATCACACATTACAATACCAAAGATTACACCGCTAATCATTATCATTACAAACAAAAACCAAAACATGCCAAGAACTATTTGTCATCTTTCCTCGTACAATTGCATTATACCGAATTCAAAGACTGCTGCCATTATAAAATATACAGAAACAATCAAAACTAGGCATGGTCACTAACCTTTTAATTTCAAGCATTTTCAATCCTAAGCTTATTTAGAGAGTTGGGACCGACAAGAAACACACGTCTTGGTGGGTGATATCTGAAAACCACTACTCCTTTATATGCTGTCCTTGGTACACCGTCCTAGATAACGAAGCAATTAAAATTTTAGGGAATCGGGGAGAATGGAAATCATGAACCTTACATACGTGAATTTTTAGCAGTTTATTTGTACAGCAACAACAGAAGTAGAACAGCAATGTTATTTAAATCAAGGCCTTTTTGTCCCCTATCTTGTATCAGTTGAAAGTGTGTGTATGCTTATCGCATTTGCATGCTTGTAGAGCACAAAAAATGAGGACGAGCAGAAAGGTCATTTCAACTGTACGAAGAACCGTACATATGTCTCATTACTTGCAAATGGTCAGGTGAAAGGAAAGTTGCATCTTTGTGGCAAAGACTATATGCAATTGATGGTAAATGGCTAAAATGGTATTCAGCAAATTCCACCAAACTTTTGAAGCGGTATCAAACACGAGTTTCCGAACTTATAGCATGACCAGGCATTTATCAGCTATTATCATAAAAAACATCTCATGCGTTTTCACAACAAATAAAGAAAAGATACCTGAAACATCAGATTAATAATTTACCTTCCATTCTTCAAAAACTCCAAATTGTCGTGCAATGTTTTCAAAGTCTGATTGGTCTTTATACTGAATACGAACATCACCTTCTATATTAGATGCCATAAGAGCAAGATTTGATCCATGGACAGGTTTTGCCATTTTCAAAATGTCAGCAAAGTATTTTGCATATTTGTCCTAGAAAAGGAAGAACACAATTATACATGACAAATTTAAAAATTAAAACCTAGGGGAAAACAGTTTCCATTTCCGCTGATTTTACCTCCATCAGGTAGCTCAAATCCTGTGACTTCCAATCCACCTTTCACACAAAACAGCAACACAATTGTGATGAAGATGACAGCGATGTACAAAATTTTACATTCTAAATAAAATTATAGAAATGTTGATGCCAACCTTTTTGTCATTGATCTTAATAGGCTCAAGATACTTTTGGAAAAATTGCCCCATGCTTGAACCCTGATTGAATCAAAGATTGAAAACACAAAATGAGCCCACAGTTGTAAAATGGGTGTAAAGATCCACCTAAAGAGCAAGAATATGTTAACACCCATCCTTGAGGAAATTTAAAACTACTGAAGTTGCCTAAGTTATTGAAAGATGAAAATGCCCCTAATTTGGGGAATCTCAATTTTATTTAAGCGTGAAAACAAGCCATTCCAAAAGTTGAAGGAAACTCTTCGACTAAAAAAATAAAAATAAAACAGAAACACTAAAGCCATAGAGGTAATATATTCATCCAAGTTAGTTGCACATTCTCGCAGAAGCAATGCAATAGAATCATAGCACAAAATTCTCCACAGAAAGCATATGGATTGTGTGCCTCATCCATGTTATACCTAGTTACTATCCACAAGGAAGAAACATACAGGCAGATGGTCTACAATACCCATAAGAGTAAACACAGCAATTTTGAACAAGAAATCTTCTAAATGACAAGGTAATACTTACATGCTCACCAAAGTTATATGTTCTGCAAACTTCTGGACGAAGGAATTGTCGGCCTTTGTGATTCTCTTTCAATCTCAACCAGTCATCCCAATAAGTGAACTTTTGTCAAGAAATTTCATAGAAAAACTACATCGATTTGCATTAGTGTGTATATATAAATGAATAACAAATAACAATATACTTAAGCAAAAAGGATATGCTTTTGGCCACTTTGGTGATAGCTCATTCCATACAGACCTAGTAAGCATCCAGCCAAGACCAGGAAAGAAATCTGAGCGATAAAGTGCATCTGCATGGAATAATAACAAGCAAATAAAGAAATAGAAAGCACCAAAATTTTCTATATCAAGAAAATTAAAAATCGAGTTCAAGCATGAGCATGCAAAATCAAAATTGCAAGACTTATCCAGAAGTGGATCGCATAATGACACCTTCAACTATGCGTTGCACATGAAGAGGGAGAGAGGGAGTGAGGGAGGGGGGGGGGAGAGAGAGAGAGAGAGAGATGGATGCCTGATAATGAGCAAACATTAAAATGATGCCAGGATAAAATTAAATATCTGCCTCATAGTCAGCCACAGAAGCTCAATTTAAGGTAAGCACCGCATAAGAGGATTAAGAAATAATATAGAACCATAAAACTCATAGAAGCAAGAAAGAACAAACAATTTTTTTAGCAAACCAGTCAAATCTTGAATATAAAAACGCGTTAAGCTTGGCTGTTTTCATTGATAGAAGTTCCATTGAGTGAAAAAAAAAACTGACATGGGTCATGCACGAACTGCTTTTGCCCATTGTCATTCCATGAGGAAACAGCCATAATTGACCTACATGATTTGATAACAAGGTGAAGATTGAAAAAGAATGCAAATCCTCAAATTAAATAGAAATAGAGGGACACCCTGATTTCATTCTTGTAACATACTTATCCTTGTCGAGAAGGGCCGCAGCTGCCTCAAAGTAATAAAAAAAATCAGGGGCAATTTCCATATCATCTGTTTTCAAAAGTGATTCTCAATCAGTACAGTATACCTTTTGTATTCGAAGCAATAATCCAAAAGAAGACAACTTCACCTTCAAGTATAATTACTCGGTCAAAATTGTGCTTGTAGAACAACTCATCCAGTGCCCATTTGTAGTGACCTTAAAAAACTAAATTTTTAAGAGTATAAACTAGTAGAAGTCATTTCAACACTAAAGAAAAGAGAGAAACAATCCTTACGGGCTATCTTGTAGTATTCAATCAATTCCCCAGGCCTTTCTGTATGCACTGGATCATAATCTATGTGCTAACAGAAAATAAAGTAAGCATTCACTGGATTGATTTTGATAAATAAGGATAAGGCAAATCATATGAATAAGGTAGGGAAAAGAAAGGAAACTCATCCAGATCAACTTTTCTAATGTAGACTAAAAGGGAACAGATGAAATGCAATATACCTGCATGTAAGTTAGCTGATTATAATGACTCAAAGCCTTAGTTTTCACATTTGGATCTGATCCATCCTGAGAAGAAACTATCACAGTTACAAGCACTGCTTCTTTTAATGACATCAAAAGAATAATAAAGTGTCTATGGTGCATGAAGTATAACATGACAATCAAGTAAAATAGAAAAAACTTTTGTAGCAAATAAAGAATAAAAATATAAATGTAAGTACCTGAGATATAAAAAGGGGATATTTTGAAGCAACAGAACTCTGATACCTGCAGATTTAAGCCAAAGTAAATCAACTTAAAATCAGTTACTATCTAGTCAAACAGAATAAGCTATCAAAACAAACAAGTTCAAATAAACATACTTCAATACAGACGCAACTGTTCTTTCCAGATAATCAGCACGATTGCACGCCATGATTACTACAGCTGCCACTGGTACCTAAAACATTCAACCCAAAGAATGTTTAACTATTATACATGGTAGTTTGTGGAGATAACGTATAAGAATTCTCTTCATCTCATGAACCTGTGTTTTGTCAATTATTCTCTGAAGGGCCTTCTCTGAGAACCAAAAAGAAACATGTTAACTTTCAATGAAACATTTGAAGCACCAAAGGAAAGGAAAAAACTTTTCTAAAGCAACCAAACAAAAGAAAGAGTTGAATGCAGATATGAAAACTGACAAATAATTGACAATTCCAAAGCTGCTTAGCAAAAATAATTATTGAACAAGAGGTAAATTAAAGCCAAACTACAATTCGGGAGGAGCAGAATGGCCTGCATCAAGACCCAGTTGTAGAGCCACATTCGGAGGGATGGCATTAATAACAACCTTAAAAATGGCTATGAAGTGTATTATAAACAGAAAATCAGTCGCAAAAACTAACTATAACAATTAAATAGATCTCAATGGTCAAAGATCATATGATCTGAACATTACAAAGGCTTCACTTGGTAAGGACAGAAGGGGGTCTGGGTGGTAAAGTTTGAATTCTAAAGTTTAAGCTACAAACTAGAAAAATGGTAAAACCTAAACAATAGATTAAAAGCTTTTCCATCCCTACCCCATTCTATCCTTCCTACAAAGCAAAGCTTTAATATATGCCTAGACACCATAGAAGGATCTTGTAAGAAATATAAAATTGCAATCAAGAAAGATAAAATAGACAGAAATGACAAGAAACAAACAGTTTATTCTGATAAGAAACTACTTTCAAGATCATGTACAAGAGCCTTCAGTTGTGCACACTCCTGATCCTTTCGCTTCTTCCCCTCTGGAATTGTAACATGAAAAGAATGAATGATTTGAATTCCATGAAAAACAATATTTATCGATTTAGACCTAGTCTACTGAAAAGAAGCATGCATAAAGGATCAAAATGAAGGAAACTCACACCTTCCAGGGACACAATTTCCTCTTGTTGCATGCTAATTTGATCAATAAGTAGTCGCATTTGACTTGTACAATGGCGCTCTGCATCCACCTGCCAAAAATGAAAAAGACACCATGTTCAAAGACTTAGATAGTTCATATTCCTTAGGTTTTACATAGTAAGAAAAAAAACGCTGCAGTTTTTGAGAGCTAAAACTAGAAATAAACCTAAGCTTACTAACCGCTTCAGCCATTCGATCTGCATATTCAGATTGCGTGGCGAAAAGCCGCATCTACAAAAGGTTCGAAACAAGCATTTGATTTCATATACATAAATTAGAAAACTTAGAATCAATTGAATCCAGAGAGAAAAAAAGGGGAAATGCAGCAAGGTTTTGTCTTTACCTGGATGTATACGAATACGAGTGCAGCGGGGATGAGAAGGTACCGGAAATCGCAGCTTAGCTTAGCCATATTTATGATTCTCCCCCGACTGACTTGGAACAATGGAGATTTACGGTTTCACTGTTTTGTTGTCTACTTCGATATTGATTTTTCGTTATTCAATCTTCATCTCTTGAATTGTATGTAGAAGCCGCCATGAATAGAAAAATTAGACTTCGGTGGGTTTTTGGGTAAACTACAAAGGTAGTTCTTTGACTATTTATTAGTTTCATTTGGGTTATCTGTCTATAAAAGTTTATGTCACGGGCCTAGACTGCTGCTAGTAAGCTCGTGCGGCCTTAGTCGTTTTCAAGGTCGAAAATCGGCTAAGTAACCCAAACCTCCACTAAGCAAGAATGCTTAGAACGTTGCGAAAACAAAGCTAATGGGAAAAATAAAGAGATGGGCGCTCAAATGGAGAAGAGAGAGTTTAGAGTGAATGCTAACTTGTATTCCTCAATCTGAAGTGTGTAAATGAGGTGGGGGTGAGCCTCCTTGTATAGTTGGAGCCCCCTACAATCAACGTTTAAGATTAAATTACATCAACGGTCAGAAAAGAGCCCTACTCTATCTATAACTCTAAATTAAAGAATAATTAGTGAGAATTATCTCTAAGATAATTTCAAATAATTATCATGCCTCTTCTCTCTCCAAGGTGGATGGGCCAGCTCTGCTGGGTCTTCTAGAAGGCCCAAAACGTGGCAAAGATAGTCTTTGGCAGCCTTGAACGAACTGGGCTCGGTCTTGGGCTGGCGGTCTGTGACATTCTCCCCCACTAGTTCTAGCGACGCCCTCGTTGCGCGACTAGAGTGAAACTGGTCTATCTTATCTCGGAATTGCCACAAGGCTTCGGAAGGTTCCCAACTTCCCTCACTCTCTGGAAGTCCCTTCCACTGAACAAGGTATTCATGCCTTGGTCGTTTTCCCACTCCATGAACAGCTCTCTCTCCATGATTAGCTTCTACTTCTCTCTCGTATGAGACCTTTACCCCGACTGGCGCTCGATGTGACTTGCCTCGATCTAGCTCCTCCTCATCCTGATGGTATGGCTTCAACAAACTCACATGGAACACAGGATGAGCTTTGATGGTCAAAGGCAATTCTAATTTGTAGGTCATGGTGCCTACCCACTTAAAAACTTTGAATGGCCTCTCGTATCTTTGTACAAGCCCTTTATGATATGGGTTGCGCAAGATACAACTTAATTTGGCAAGGACTAGGTCACCAACCTTAAAGTTTACATCCCGACACTTTCGATCTACCCACTTCTTGGTTCGCTTCCCGGCCTTGTGCAAACAAGCTCGGGCTAGTTCATGTTGTTCTTGCCACTCCTTGGCAAATTGGTATGCTGTTGGATTTGGCCCTTGGTACCCGGTCACAACCGCATTTGGTGTAAGCGGCTGTTGCCCGGTAACAATCTCAAATGGACTCTGATTGGTCGCTTCACTCCTCTGCAAATTGTAGGAAAACTGGGCTACATCCAACAATTTTGCCAGTCAAGTTGTGTGGCACTCACATAGTGCCTCAAGTAGGTCTCGAAGAGTGCATTCACTCTCTCGGTTTGCCCATCCGTTTGTGGATGAACACTTTTCGAGAAGTTCAAGCTTGATCCCATCAACTTGAACAACTCCTTCCAAAACCTCCCAGTAAACCTTGTGTCCCGATCACTGATAATCGTCTGTGGAACACCCCAGTACTTCACCACGTACTTGAGAAAAAGACGAGCGGCCTCCTCGGCTGGACAAACTTTGGATGCTGGAATAAAGGTCCCATACTTGAAAAATCTATCCACCACGACCATGATGCTAGAAAATCCGTCGGAAACAGGCAAACCAACAATGAAATCCATGGAAAGACTTTCCCATGGTTTCTCGGGGATAGGTAGAGGCTGCAACAATCCAGCTGGTCTCCTCTGCTCTATCTTGTCTTGCTGGCACACAAGGCAGGTCTTTACATAGGCCTCGACATCATTGCCCATGTGCGGCCAATAATATTGCTCCACTATCAAGGCCAAAGTCTGGTGGATCCCCGGATGTCCCGCCCACTTGGAATCACGGCATTCCCTCATGAGCTCCTTTCGCAATCCTTCAAATTGTGTCACATAGAGGCGGTGTCCTCGAGCATACAACAAGCCTTCATCTAGCCAAAACTTTCTAGTCTTGCCCTCCTTGGCAAGCTCAATCAATGAATGGGCTATCAGATCATGTGACAACCCCTCTTTGATGCGCTCCCGCATTTGTCTCGTCGACAAACTCACAAACTCCATGTCACACATTCGACTTAAGGCATCGGCCATAGAATTCACTTTCCCAGGTTTCTGCTCCAAGGACAAGTCAAACTCGGCAAGGAACTCTTGCCAACGAGCTTGCTTCGGTGACAACTTCTTCTGGGTTAAGAAGTAACTGTTGGCAACATTGTCTGTAAACACCACGAACTTGGACCCAAGTAAGTAATGTCGCCATGTGCGCAAACAGTGCACAACTGCAGTCATCTCTTTCTCATGGACCGTGTATCTCCTCTCGGTCTCATTGAGCTTCCGGCTTTCATAAGCAACCGGATGTCCCTCTTGCATCAGGACCCCACCAATGCAACGTCAGATGCATCAGTGAATACTTCAAAGGGCTTGGTGTGATCTGGCAACACCAAAACTGGGTCGCTTGTCATAACAAGCTTGATTTCGTCAAAGGCACTTTGACACTTCGGGTCCCAATCCCACGCCTTGTCTTTCTTCAATAACTAGGTTAAAGGGGCTGCGATTTTTGAGTAACCTTTGACAAACCTCCGGTAATAGTTGGCCAACCCCAGGAATGATCTCAGCTCCGTCACCTTGGTTGGCACTTTCCATTCATCAATGGCTCGAACAATGGCTCGAACCTTGTCCCTATCCATCCTGATCTTGCCACCTCCAATAATGTGGCCAAGGAAAGGAACCTCCGTTTTGGCGAATGAGCACTTCTCCTCTTTGACAAAGAGCTCATTCTCTCGCAACACCAGAAACACTTGCTTCAAGTGTTCAACATGCTCCTCCAATGTCTTGTTGTAGATGACGATGTCGTCGAGGTAGACAACAACGAATCGATCCAGAAAAGGTTGCAACACTTTGTTCATCAGGGTGCAAAAAGTGGATAGAGCATTAGTGAGGCCAAAGGGCATCACAATGTATTCATATGAACCGTACCTAGTTACACAGGCTGTCTTCGATTCATCTCCATCGGCTATCCTGACTTGGTAATAGCCCGATCACAAATCTAACTTGGTGAACCACCTTGCACCACCAAGCTGATATAAACAAGTCCGCAATGAGAGGAATCAAGTACTTGTTCTTCACCGTGAGCTTATTCAAAGCCCGGTAATCGATGCACATCCGCAAAGAACCATCGTGTTTCTTTTGAAACAGCACTGGGGCACCATAGGGGGACTTGGATGGTTGGATATACCCGGCATCGAGGAGATCCTTCAACTGTCTGCGCATCTCCTCCAACTCGGGCGGAGCCATTCGGTAAAGAGCTCGAGCGGGTGGCTCCGCATTCGACACAAGCTCAATCTTGTGATCCACCTCCCTCTTTGGAGGCAACTTCTTAGGCAACTCGGCAGGCATCACATCTTGGAATTCTGCCAACACGTGGCTCACCACGTCAGGAACTTCCTTGGTTGTGGCTGGCTCATCACACACCAATACAGCTAAGAAGGATGGTTCCTCCTTACGCACTGCCTTCGAGAATTGAATTATGGATAGAACTTTGGCCCCTACTCCGGGCCCTCGGCTCACTGGAATAATACATTGTTGCTTTGGATCCAAGATGCACAAGCAATCGATAAAAGGTACTGGGAAGGCATTGATCCGGTCCAAGAAACTTAACCCAAGCACGAAGTCGAAGTCATCAAGAGGAATCGCCTTGATGGCTTCCGTTCCGGACCAACCTCCAATAGTTAACTCAATTCTCTTTACGACCCCCGCAATCGGAACCTCTTTGGCATTGACGATCTTGATAGAACCACTTGCCTTCTCGACATGAAGACCAAGTCTCTTGGAAACTAGTTCTGACATGAACAACTCTGAGGCACCGGTGTCCACTAGTACACTCAATTTTTGGCCAGCAACGGTGATGTCAACGAACATCAACCCCTTCTTCTTCCGACCCTTCTTGACCTCCATGGTGCTAAGGATGGAGCCAAGATTTAGAGTATCACTCTCCTCCCCATCTTTCTCCTTGATGGCCGAGAGTTTATTCTTCTGTGGATAGTCCCTCGCCAAATGCCCTTGGCCCTTGCAGTTGTAACACTGGATAATTTGCTTGTCTTTCTTATCCGAGTGCTTACCATTCGATGGCTTGCCAGTGCCACTCGAATCTTTGTCAGATTTGGATGCCTTGTCCCTATCACCACTGATGCCTCAGAACTTCAGCTTCGGTTTGGAGTCAACCTTTTTGACTCCAAGCTCAATGATTGACTCGGCCGTCGTCAAGGCAACTGAGAGTTCCTTAACTCCTCGTTGCCTTAGCTCGTTCTTCACCCATGGTTTCAACCCATCCATGAAGTTGAAGAACCCGTCCTCTTCACTCAAATTCGGGACTTGGAGCATTAGTTCGACAAACTTTCGAACATGCTCCCTCAGTGACCCTTCTTGCTTGAGACGCCTCAACTTGGACCGCGTCTCATCCTCAGCATACTCCCGGTAGAACTGTTCTTTGAACTCAACTTGGAATTCTACCCATGTCTCGATGGCAGCGTTCCCACGCTTCACATCATTGCATCTGCGTCGCCACCACATGAGGGCAACCTCTGACAAGTAAACACTAGCAATGCTTAGTTTCTTGGCATCCTCCGTGATGCCCATGGCTGCAAAGTACTGTCCAACCCCCTAAGGAAATTCTCAACATCCTGGGCGGACCTGGTTCCTTTGAACTTCTCCGATTTAGGGATGTCACCCAAGGCTTTGGGTGCAACCGTGGCTAGGCTATTCCCGAACGTAGCTTTGCACACCAACAACTCGGTCTTGAGCAACTCGACCTCCCTCTTTAGCTCGACCACCTCAGAATCGGAACCCTTGCTCTTGAGTTCCTCAACTTCATTCCTTAAAGCCACCACCATGGCTTCTAAGGAATCACCTCGATCAGTTACCTTCACATCCAACTCATTGAGTGAATCCTGAACCTCCTCC